TTTTTTAGCCTTTTTTTTGTGTCTTTGAGGAAAACGAGAGGCTTGCCGCTGTGGTTCTTGCGTGTGTTGCTGTTGGGTTGTTTTTGACTTTCCCATGCGGGTGCCATTATTTTCTCTCTTTTTTTCTTTTCTTTTTTTATTTCATGGGGGTTTGTTTTGTTGGGGCGTTCGCCCCTGCGCCGTTGTCTCCGCTCGAGGAGGGTGAGGAGGCGTAGGTAGACATACGTGTGTATATATAGCGAGGGAGAGAGGAGCTGGGGGAGGTAGTTTGTGTTGCGGTGCGGGTCGTTCTGTGGCTGCGAATGGTGGCTTCCGCGGAGGGTGGCGTGGCGCGGCGGTCTTGCAATCGCGCGGTGGCTTTGGTGACTACGGTAGATGCTGCTCTTTTTGACTCCGCGTTAATTACCGCCGGTCTGGCGTTGGGCTGCTTGCCTTGTTGTAGTCGCCCTCGCATTATACGTTACGGGGACATGTCGTCTTTAATAATGGACCGCTTAAACCCCGACACACACTGTGAGACACGTAAGAGGTTGCACGCTATGCAGATGGTGCCTGTACTTCGTGATGAGTTTTGTATCATGGATGACTCCACGCTGCGCTGCATCTGTGCATTTCTTGGGGTTCAATCGAGGGAGTTGGTGCACATTGGCTCTGTTTGTCGTCGGCTGCGCAACCTCGTCATTGCGCTGACTCCGTCGAGCGCCACAATAGTGCCTGAGATGATTCCGTTAGCTTCTCTTTCGAGTCATGACGTTGTGGATTCTATTTGCTCCTTTTTTGCTCCGTACAAGCGGGGACAGTTCGTGCAGCGACTGCGGCTTGTGGACACGAAGTATGCCTCCTCATTGCCTGTTGGTACGGCACTGCCTTTGTGTTCTCACCATGTTTATCCCTCGCTTGTCAAGTCAATGCCTTCGCTGACGTTTCTTGACCTGCGCGGCGTCCATTGGGACTGCCACTCCCACCCACACCTGCCGCAGTACTTTTTCAGTGATTTGCATCTTGTTGCACCGGGGCTGCAGACGCTTAAGGTTGGTGTGGACCTTTTCTGTCAGTGGTCCCCCGGGTGGTGGCAGCGCCTCACAGCGCTGGAGCAAATTGTGGTGGGCTCCCGGCGTGACCAGGCGGTGGTTCCGGGAAGGGAGCTTCGGCCTCCACTTGTGCTTCACGACGAGTTTTTCGACATGTTACGTGCCCCACGCCGACCGTGGCGGGTGAAGTTGTGGTGTCCACTGCAAGAGAACATGCTTGTCCGGCTGCTTCTGCCCATGCAGGCATTTCCTGAGGTGCAGGAGCTGACGGTGAACCTCTCCAACACGGACATTCTTGAGGAGCTTAAGCGAGTTATGGTGCGGTCGCCGCGGGATGGTAAGTCACGCAGAGCCACGAGGGGCATCATGACGCACGTAGCAGACGAAACAGATGCTCGGACAATGTTTCCCTCCTTGCAGTCATTGACCCTCGTGAACGTGGAGCAGTGTCCGTTGCTGCCGGTAGAACTCGTGGAGCGTTTTTTTTTCCATGCACCGCGTTTCAAGTACTTCACTCTGGTGAACACGTCAAGAGTGCCCCCGCCCTCACCCCCGCAAAAGTTGCGGCAGCGGACCCAGTTTACTACCGCTGCGCTTGCGGGCTAGGGAAAAAAAAGGCAAACATCATGTATAGTGAGAGGGTATGTGTGCGCGTATACGTCTGCATGCGTGCAACTTTCTCTTGTAGTTTGCTAGTGTGTTTGTGTTTTTTTAAAATTTGTTCTTGTCCCTTGCTTTAGGTTATTCTGGCGGGAAAAGAATATTAGAGAAGAACGAACCAGTAAGAAAAGGGGCGAGAAAACATCGATACAAACGTCACGGGAGCGTACGATGCACCAGGAACACGGACGTCCTGTTTCTGGTGTTTGGATGCTTTCCGCTTTGAATGGTTGCCGCAACGGAGAAGCTCTCATTTTATTTCCTTATTTTTTCTTGTTGTTTTTGTTTGTATTTTCTCCTGCGCTTAGTGTGGTTGGATCCGTTGTATTTGGTGGTGTGCTGCAGTCGCGTTATTGCGCATCGTGCTAGCGATGTTTGAGGGCCCTGTGGAGTGCTGCGAGTGTGCTGCCCCCGTCGGCGACGAGGGAGCGATTCGGGCAGTGCTTATCTTACCGTGTCAGCACCTCCTCCACGCGGGCTGTGTGGATTACATTCGCAAGAGAAGAAAGCTGGAACAGCTGATTGTTCGGGGTGATCGGAGCGGTGCAGGTGCGGTGCTGCTGGAGTCCCTCATGTTGGCCGGGGAAGGTATTCTCAACAAGAGCAGTAGCAGCAGCTGCTGCAACGGTGGCGGCGGTTGTGGTGATAGTCGTCTTGTTGCGTGCCCGGCGTGCATGATGCCCATTCAGCGTCTCATTCCGTTGTTTCCCAGCGGCGGGGATGCGCAGTGTGCGGCGAAGGGTGGTAGTGATGGTGAGGCCGCATCGTACTTCACGGCGGCACATCAGGCGCAGAAGAGCCACATTGCCCAACTCCGCGCGCTTTACGAGCAGCGGGAGCGAGTGACGCAGCTGACACGCACATGCGCCCTCATGCATGAGCGCCTCTCGGAGGCGCAGGCGGAGGTGGACCGGTTGTCAAAGATACTCCCAAGTGTGGCGCCCGCCGCCCATGTGCCGCAGCTGGCGGGGGAAAAGTTGTGCGTGGAAGGCATGACCGCCACGGAGCTAGAGATGTACATCCTGCATTCCTCAGCGACGCTTGAGGAGCTGGAGCACGACGTAGGTGAACAGAGGCGGGTGGTGGAGAAAAAGCGGAGAAAACTGGGCCATCTTCACTCGCGCCTTCAAGCGATGAAGGCGTTGGAGGAGCGATCGCGGCAGACTCACAAAAAGAGGGAGGACGCGGAGTCAAGTGGCAACGAGTCACCCCGGCACTCTGGGAGCCGCGACAAGCGCCCGCGTGCGCCACCTGTAGTTGACGTGGAGGAAGAAGAATCCGCCGCCAAGACACGAGCGATGAGTGTTTCGTCTGGAACCGGCAGCTGCGATGGGGCGGAGCAGAAGCAGCAACGACAGCAGCGCGAGGACGCAGAGGAACGTGGAATTGGGAGGGCCAATCTCGACAGCAACGCGAATGATGTTGGAGAGGAGGACGATGATGTCGTGTACATTGACCAGAGAACACCGCAGTTTACGAATGGTGGAAGCAGCGGCAGCCCAACCGTAGCCGATGCCTCCTATCCCGCTTGGCGACCACGCACGGGCACCGAGGTGAGGAGGGACAGATGTGGTCGTGGCGAGAACAACAATCACAACAGCGGAAATGACGATGCAGTTGTAGCTGATGATGGTGACGACGACAACGCGGATGCCATGATGTGCTACAATCCCATGCGGCGCGTGGCACCGACCCAACAATTCGGGATTTACGCGCCGAACGCTGCACGTCTTCTTCCAAGACGCGAGGATCGGTTGTGGCAGCCGTCACTAGAAGGCCTCTTGTGAAGTGGGAAGCCGTGGTGGGGAAACGATAGAGGAACACACGTCATTAGCTGAGTTTCTTTACCGATGTGTTCGAGTTCCACCGTGATGGTTTTTTACTTTTCTCATTTCCGTTTGTATTGCTTGGCTCCTGCAGCTAGAGGTGGAGCCGTTCCACGCATACGTATGGATCCATTATTATTATTATTATTAGTATTATTATTATTGTTGTTGTTTTGGTTTCTGTCGTGTGAGAAAAGTGGGACGTTGACGAGTTTCTTTGTACACAATCGTTTTCTTATTTTCCTTTAGTGGCCCAAGGAAAGGAGTACCCAAAGAGGAGGTGGTGTCTGGGTGTGGGTGTGTGCGAGAGAGAGATAAGGAAGCCGGGGCGGGGGGGAATGAAATCTTTTGTCCTGCCTTCGCTCCAGCCAGCGGCAAAGAAGGCTGTGGGGGGCTCGCAGGTGTCGTTGCCATCACTGCCGTCAGCTGACCTCACAGCGACACCTTCGAGCCTTGCATTCCCATTCATTGTCAAGGGTCGGCGGCTGCAGGAGCTGAGGCGCATGGAAGCAAAGGCTGCGGCACTCGAGCTGGCGGTGAAGAAACAGCAGCTCGAGCGACTGGAGTCCGAAGTCCGCGGCGCCATATGCGGTCGGGAGCACGAGAAGCGCTACCAGCTCCTCTGGCACTACCAGAAGGCAAAGTCAGATGTGGAGCGGAGGATGGCTGTGACGGAGGCGAAGGCGCTGGCGTTGCAGCGGTCACAATACATGCGGGGTGTGCGTGATTACAAGGAGCGTGGCCAGTTGCTACACCTTGAGACAGTCGCGCGGGCTCAGCTGGTGATTGAAGAGACGGATGCGCGGAGTCATGCGGTGTCGCTGCTGGAGCTGAAATTGCTCGAGGAACGACGCCGGCAGGCTGCACTGGAGGTGGACACGGCGGCGCGTCTTTCTGAGGACGTAAAGGGGATACGTGACTGGGAGTCGCGCATCGCAGTAATGTCGTTTCGCCTTGCCGAGGCATTCTCACCCACAACGCAACTTCGCTCCCCTCGCAACGTAGGCACCGGTGGCTACCGTGGAAGAACAGATCTCCTCATGGACTACACGGTCTGTGAAGAGGAGAGGAGGCTCCGATGGAGGCTCATTTTGGAGGAACGCGTACTCCGCGAGCCGTTGGAGTGGCAGCACGGTGCGGCACAGCTTCAATTTGTGGAGGAAGCGCAGGCGCGAGCAGCAATTGAGGCAGCGTGTCTCTTTGGGGCCTGTCAAGCTCGGTTGAGTGCAGTAGTGCGGATTCAGCGGTGGTGGCGCATGCTTTGCGTTACCGCGTGGAGCGAGCGAAAACGGCGGCAACTTAAGGAAAGTGTGACCCAAATACGGAGCCGAATGACGTCGCGCGACTACCTTGCTCTTCTGGGCCGGTTGGAGCGACAGGCAGGGGCGACCGTTGCCTTAGTGTCGTTGGAGGAGCTACAGAAGGCCATGACAGCCATTGAACGGGCGGCCGAGATGGCATATCAAAACACATTTGATTATTTTATTTACACCTTGATGAATCGTGCGGCAAACCTGCAAGAAACGGAGGCACACGATCTTTGCGATTACCCACTGATGAAGGATGATGGCATGGCGATCATTCGGCCTGTGTCAAGGCTCCTCTCTGTACCATATCGCCTGTACGTCCGTCAGCAACCACAGCTGCCGTATCCCCAGTGGCGAGCGCTGCGGTGGGTAGAAGGATCTGCCATGTTCATTCAACAGGTACGGCTGCTTGAGAAGGCCGAGGCTGAAGCGCGGGCGCGTCTATGGGCGCAGAAGGACAAGGAATTTGACACGCTTCAGCTGTATAGCGCGCTGCTGAAGCAGGGAGCCTGGACCTGGCGCTCGCTCTACACCGAGATTCTCTGTATTGGGGAAGAGGAAAACATGTGTCGGGGCCTTCTGCATGTGTTTGAGGATAACTGTCGCGGCGTGTTGAAGGCGGAGGCGGAAGTGTCCGTGTCGAATTGCATCGCAGCGGAGGGGGGACGGTGGCGGTTACTGAATGACGAGTCACAACTGCGACACGAACTCGTTGCAGAGGAGAGAGACGCATTCTTCCACCTCACGGAGGACGAGTGGCGGTGGAACAATCTCGTGCGGCTGCGCACAAAACTGCAGCATTCCTGCGGTGGAAGGCCGCGGTGGGGGATTGCACCAAATCATGACATGGATCGAAAGTACCTTTCGCTGGACACGACGGCGCGAATCATTCAACGCTTCTTTCGCTTCACGTTCGCCTGTAAGTCGCTTACAGGCGAACGTGAAGCGAAGCGGGCCATACGGTTGGAAGAGGAGATGCAACTCAAGACAACGGCTGCCGCGATGGTGAAGTTGCTGGAGGCGCAGCACCGCCAGGAGGACGAAGAAAAATTGCAGTGGGCCGCTACAAAGTGCCCCGTTGGGAGCGCTGACGATGGTGCAGGGTCTTGCTTTGAAACGGCGGTGAGTTTGTTCTGTGACTGGTTTGATGAAAGAACCCAGGAACCGATGGAGCTGCAGTACAAGGCGATCGTCGCACGGTTCATGCAGGCAAACCGGGAAACATGCAGGCACATGCGTATTTTGTTTGCAGTTGCGCGGGACGGGCGCCAGCGGATTGAGGAGGAGGAGACGGTGGCGTGGGGCGCACTTCACCACACCAGTGTATTTGCCGTCATCGCAATCGACGCGCTTGAGCGGCAGGAAGTGGTGCAACGTGAGCGTCTTGAACGCGTCGCAGCGGAGGCGAGATCTCAGTGGCCTGGGCGGGTCGCATTTCTTGCTGGACTCGTACGCCACACCACCACCGCCGTCGCCGCTACGAGGAACCATAAAAATACGATGCTGCGTCTGCTCCGCAGCGGCCACGTTGAGCGACTTGTGAGCCGCGAGGAGGTAGTTCGCATGCGGCTGATTGTGGAGGAACGGCGTGAACGTGGCGATGCCTTGCTGTCGCTTCGCACCACGTTGTGCGTTAACACGCTACGGGAAGAGCAGCAGGAATGGTCGGCGCTGTGCGACCACATTGACAAGTGCTGGAGCGCCCACGCTCCTCTCGGGCTGCTGGTGAAGGCGGAGGCGGTAGCGCGGCGCGGGTTGGAGTCATGGGCGTACAGGGCGTACGACGCGATGCTGACCCGCATGTGTGCCATTTACGCCCAGCAGCTTCTTTTCCAGCAGTTTCTTTGTGGGCATTTGATCTTTGAAAGCGAGGCACGGCACTTTGACAGGCGGCTGACGGAGTTGCTATCGCAGCGCGTAGGGTCTCTCGACACCAAACTCGACGAACTGGTGGCCGCAGAGACATGTGCCCGTGCGCGGGTGGAGTATTTTGAGGCGACACACCGAAGCGTTTATTTCTGTCCAGATGACGTAGCGTGATGTATCTGTGTATGTGCATTAGGAAAACAACAGCGGCCTTGTTAGACTATTGTTTTTATGGAGATTGAGCTTTCGCCGACTCGCTCTCTCTTTGTTTGTGTTGATGATGTTGTTTTTTGTTTTTTGTCTCGGAATTTCTTTTACTTTATGCTTTTTGTTTTGTTTTTTATTTCGTTTGCGGCGGGCGGGGGCGGGGGTGGCACGGTGCCTTCCCCTTCATGCGGAGAGTGCGCAGATACGTGTTCGCAATTTCGTGAATGGAGGAGTTTGACGGCGCCATTGGCATCGATCTCGGAACGACGTACTCGTGCGTGGCGATCTTCCGCAACGACGCGGTCGAAGTTGTTCCCAACGATCAGGGCAACCGCACAACGCCGTCATGTGTGGCCTTCTACAACGAGGAGGTGTTGGTGGGCGACAGCGCGAAGCAGTTGGCCTCCCGCGGGGTGAAGGGCGTTGTGTACGACGCCAAGCGTATGATTGGTCGCCGGTTCAGCGAAAAAACCGTCCGCGAAGACGTGAGGCGGTGGCCGTTTGCCATCGAGGAGGGCGAGAACGACAGGGTGTTGATCTGCGTTGAGCACAACGGCGAGACACTGCGCCTGGAGCCCGAGCTGATCTCCGCGCGGGTGCTCGCGTACCTTAAGACGTGCGCCGAGCAATTTATTGGCATGCGTGTGAAGAAGGCCGTCATCACGGTGCCCGCGTATTTCAACGATGCACAGCGGGAGCGCACGAAGGCCGCCGCACGCATTGCTAAATTGGAGGTGCTGCGCATCATCAACGAGCCGACCGCGGCGGCGTTGTGCTACGGCCTTGGTCTTGGCTCTGGAGCCGGGGCGCAAGGCACGGAGCGCTCGGTGAATGTGTTGGTCTTTGATTTTGGCGGCGGCACGTTTGATGTGTCTATCATCACCATTGACAATGGCTCCTTTGCGGTGCGCTCCACGGCGGGCGACACGCATCTTGGAGGACAGGATGTGGACGCCGAGCTGCTGCAGCACCTCCTGGAGGACTTGAAGCGTCGTCATGGTGTGGATGCCACCACGCAGCCGCGGATGCTCGCGAAGCTGTTGGCGCGGTGCGAGCAGGCAAAACGCACTTTGTCTCACGCAACGATGGAAGAAATTGTGGTGGACGGTGTTTTAGCAAACGGGGAGGAGTACATTCTGACCCTGTCTCGGGCGAAGCTAGAGGAGTTGTGTTCCAAAATCTTCGCCCGCTGCATGGCCGTCGTGCGGAAGGCGATGAAGGATGCCGCGATGACGCCTGAAGATGTTGAGGATATCGTTCTCGTCGGTGGTTCTTCTCGCATTCCGGCACTACGCGTCATGCTACAGGAGATGTTTAAAGGAAAGCGCCTTTGCAGCTCAGTTCACCCTGATGAGGCGGTGGCGATTGGCGCCGCCGTGCAGGCGAGCATCATCGGCACAGCGGCAGAACAGCAGTCGGAGCGGACGGCCAATGTTGTCCTAATGGACGTCGTACCCCTCTCTATCGGCGTCGAGGTGGACGATGGCAAGTTCGATGTCATCATTCGCCGCAACACCACCGTACCGTACCGCGCGACGAAGGAGTACAGCACCGTAGAGGACAACCAGGAGGAGGTGGAGGTGCAGGTCTTCGAGGGCGAACGACCACTGACGCGCCACAACCATAAGCTCGGTGCCTTCATCCTGGACGGCATCTCCCACGCCAAGAAGGGTGAACCCACCATTACGGTAACATTCAGCGTTGATGCAGACGGTATTCTCACCGTCACCGCCTCGGAGGAGCTTGCGAAAGTGCAGAAGACGCTCGTGGTCGAGAATACCGAGCGCCTTAGCGACGCGGCGGTGCAGCGGATGCTCGAGGTGGCGCAGGCACTTTCTGAAAAAGATGCAGTGACAGTGGCCATCATGGACGCAACGCAGCGGCTCACGCATGGCTTCGCGGAACTTGAAGCGGCACTGGGTGCGATGCCTCTACCCTTGTCAGCGAAGGTTCAGCGTCGGGTGGCGTTTCTGGAGCATGGCAAAGACTGGCTTGCGAGGCAGCTTCCGACGTACACGGAAACCCAGGTGTTGGAGCGCAAGACTGCGAAGATCATGAAACTTCTGCAAAAGGCCATGAAGACACTTCGGCGCGAGTCTCACGCAGGCAGCGGTGACGAAAACGGCAGCGACAGCAGCGATGGCGACGATGGTGATGGGGACGGCGGCGGAGGGTCACAGGCACGTGAGGCCTCTGCGGGGAGGAAGCGCTCACGCAGCAATTCAGCCAGTGATAGGGGCTAGCCGCCTTATTCTTCCAAGCGTGCATGTATGTGTGTGTGTTTGTTTGTTTGTTCCTCTCTGTGCATCGTGTTTTGTTCTTGTTGTTTTTTCGTCCTTCACGCGCCCGCACTCATTGAGTCAAAAGGAAAAGAACAACACAAGCAGCAGCAACGACGACGACGAATACCGCCAGCACTGGCGCTGCATTTATTATTGCAGTTGCTGGAGGGGGCGGCGTCTGTCGTGGAGTTGTGGGGTCGTCGTGCATTTTTTATTTTTATTTTTTTTCTTTCTCTGCCTGTCTGTCTGTCTGTCTCTGTCTGTGTGTGTGTGTGTGTGCTGCGGCGGGCGGAATCACACGGGAGTGAGGGACCACAAAGGAGAGGAAAAATAAACAATAAAAAGGGGGAAAAAAGTTCTGCTTTTCCTTCTACTGCCTGCTCGCCCCGCTGCGCATCCCCCGTGCGCGCTGAGTTAATCGACAGAGCGTGCACGTACGCAGGGAAAAAATAAAGAGGCAAACAAAATAACGCGGGGGCGCGATGCCGACACGACCCACCGCGCTGAAGGCAACGACGGCGTACCGGAGGAAGGAGAAAAAGACGAAGAAGGCGGTGACGAGCGACACGAAGCGGAACCCCTCGTCCGCTTCACCGGCGCTACAGCAGCCACAGCAACAACCGAAAGACACTAAAAGAGAGTCGCTGCAAAAGGCGCTGGCAGCAGCTCTTTCCGCACCAGCCGCGGGCATCCACTCAGGCCCCGGCGCGGAGGTGGACGATTACGGTAAAGGCAGCCCCACGGACCGGCTGCAGTTTGGCTACGCACCTTCCAACGCCGCGGAGGCTGTTGCATTTCATTCTTCCATTCCTGCGGCAAAGTGGATTGCGCAGCGGCGCAAGCAGGCCCGCCACGCTATTTTTAAGAAACAAAAACTTTCGCGGCCTAACTGCGAGCCGATGACCTCACTGCTCAAACTAAAGCAACACTGGAGGAACACGGCGCAGTTTGTAGCAGAGGTGCGTGGCGGCAGCGTGGGGCAGGACTCGGCGGAGGAGCTCCTGGAGCTCTTTGTGTCGCAACAACGCGTGGCGTAGTGGCTGTTGTGTGTGTGTGTGTGCTTTCCCCGTCTTGTTTTGTTCTCTACGCTGCATCCACGTTTAATCCATGCAAAGATAAGTAATGGTGTCGTGTGCACCTTTATCTGCTCTTCTCTCTGTGTGCGTGTGTGTGGGCTCAGCTGCGCGTTTAGTTATGTGATATCGTCATTAGAGCGCAGGGGCGTCATTGCTTTTTTTTTTTTTTGCTTTCCGCGCTGGTCGCCTTTCATGTCGCCAGTGGTGAATGGGTGTGCCGTGGCAGGAAAGTGGGCGGCTGTAGAGCACAATCGGCATGGCGGGTGCAAACCCAGAAGCCGGCACAAGAGCGCAAAGGCGGCGATCGCGGGGAAAAGGAGGGTAGGTGGATTGGGATGGAGTTCCCGCCTGTCAAGAGCCGCGAGGAAGTTCTCAGCTCTCAGCAGGCGGCGGTGACACAAAAGAATATATGCAAAGGCATGCAGGACAACATTCCTCCCGTCGTGCGGAGTGTGTTGGGGCTTGGCCATCTGATGATGAGTGGCCACAGTCAGAAGCTGCGGGGCTCCTCCGGTTACCAAGGCGGTCTGCTTTACGGCAGCACTCCTTTTTGCTTCGCGAGCGGTCACAGCGACGGCACACGTCCATGTGATACGGAGGACAAGGGGAACCATATGAAGTTGGAGGACCCGCTCACCTACGGTGTGCTCTCGCTACCCGTGCCGGCTGGCTATCTCTGTGAGCTGCATGGCAATGGTGTGTTTGACCTGCAGGCTCTGCTCTCACGCTATCTACCGGAGCTCGAGGAGAAGCTGGATCCAAGGATAACAGCGCGAAGTATTCTCGCCTTTGAAACAGTGGTCGACGGCAATCAGGTGATGAAAGATGCTGGGGTGCGTCGGTTTCGTCCTCTCTTCGTGTGGAATGTGTGCGCCGCAACCCAATGGTATGTTTATGCACCAATAACTCACTTCTTTGCAGGCGGATTTGCCAGGGCTGTTACGGGGTAGCAACAGCGGGAGAATTACGTACAGTGTTTGCTCTCTTCTTCGCGTGGTAGAGTGCGCTTACGTCCACGGCGATGGATGTCCTGTCGCAGCGTGCCACACTTCTCCGTTGCACGCCGCTTATTGCGGCGTGGAGCGGCAGCTGCAGGGCATTAGTTTCGAGGACTCAGTTCGGCAAACTGTGTTTGAGCCTGCGCAGAGTCATGGTGCCGGATACGGCCCGCCAAAGCTGTGGCGTGACCCGAATGAAATGCTCTACCAACTGAGAGGCCCCGCACGGCAGTACCAGGGCTTCTCCTATCCGCTCCCCACCGGAGTCCTTGAGAACAGCGGCCCACCGCTGTTGAAAGCTTCATTGAACCTCTACGCTCCAGTGGAGGACTACGGCAAACTCTTGTTGCTCTCACTTGACGCCGTACGTCACGCGCGGACGGCGTTGGGGGCTGCGGGGGCGCACTTTGATTTTGGCGTGGAGTGGCTCAATGGGGAGCAGGAGCCGTACCAACGGGTACAACTGACCCGACGTGTTATGGGGATCGGCTATGTCCCGGCGGCGGCGTCGTTTCGGTACAACTGCGAGCATGATTTGGACTGCTTTGGCGTAACCAACTGTGGCACCCGGAGTGCGTGTGTGCTGGCGAACGCCCTCTCACGCATGATTCAGCACCTCTTCATCAAGCACATTATTCAGAAGGGCGTCGATGTGATGCGGGGTCCTGACTTGTGCAACCCCGGCCAAGAGCAGAGCGCACGGAGACGAAGTTCCGGAAGGTCATCAAGAAGCAGGAGTATGCGAGCTACTTCAGGAGGCACGATGTACACAAGTGATGCTAACGATGGGGTAGGGGGAGAGGAGAAGTGAGGAGGAACACGGGGGGAGGCGCACGCACATTTAGAGAAGACGGAGAAAAAACAAAAAAAAAAAAGATGCGCTGGCAATATGTTAGCGGTCTTTTCAGGTATTGTTTCGTTGCAGTCCGCTGCCGGGTGCCTCGGCGGCGTTGGCTCCGCACACTACACGCGTCTTTCTCCCACCTCCCCCTACTGCTCCCTATTGCGGCCCATGCGTGTGTGTGTGTGTGTGTATGTCTGTTTACGTGCCTCTGTGTTTCACGTGTGTACTTGTATCCCATGTGTTTATTTGTTGTTTGTCGGTTGCCTTACGATTTACTCGTGAGCAAGAGGGGTTGGGCTGCGTCTGCGCCAGAAGAGTGGGAAAGGGGCGGAATGGAGTCTGCACCGTCGTCGCTGAGTTACCTCCGTGCGGTGCAGCAGCTGCAGAAAAAGACAGAGGAATTAGAGCGCGTCCGCGAGGAGACGCGTCGCCTGGAGCGTGAAAATGCGGTGCTCCTGGAAGAAAAGGCGGCGCTGATGCGGGAAGTGACGCAACTGGGGGCGCAGAATCGCGACTGGCGCGCCGAATTTGGTTTGCTTGAGGAGCAGGTGAGGAAGCAGCAGCGGCACCTGCAGGAACACATCGAGCGGGAAGCCAAGCGGCTGCAGACCTCCAACGCGAAGTCGTGTGAGAGTAACGCGGAAATAATGGCGCTGCGGCAGCAACTCGAGGCGACTGAGGTGGCAAGAGAGGAGGGGGCGGCCGCGGTGGAGCAGTGCCGTTGTCTCTCACGTGAGGTGGCCGCACTAAAGCGAGAGCTGAAGGCCTCCAAGGCGAGGGCATCCCACTACCACTCCACACACGCACGCAATGCGGCGGGGAGTGCAGCCATGGACGCGATTGAGAGCAAAGCGCTGGAGGGATTGCGAAGTGAGATCGCCTCCTTTGCGGCAGAAAACGAAAGACTGATGAATGAGTTGGAAGCGGAGCGCAAGGCGCGTGTAGTGGCGGAGGAGGGTGTAGTAAATCTGCAGCAGCTTCTACAGCGGCAGCGGGAGGTGAGTGAACGGCAGCAGCTACTTTCCAAGGCGGAGCTCCAGGCACTTAACGTGCAGAACGACGCCCTCCTGGACGACGTCAAGCGCCTGATGGAGCAAGAAGCGATGGGCAGGAATGACGTCACTGTGGCGTCTTTTGCCGCCGCAAATCCCCGCCGCGTGTCAACCGTGGACCGCGGCACCGTGACGACGGAGGTGATGTACAAGCCTCTTCGCTCACCGTCTGTGCAAAGAGTGAGAGAAACTTCGCCCGCTAGCGCGTGTCCCGCTGATGTGAGCGGCGCTCCAAGCACGACGCCGCTGCAGAGACCCATCAAAGAGTTGCTGCGGAAGGTGCGGGAGTTGGAGAGCACAACGGCGGAGCAGGCGCTTCTACTTCGCGAGAAGGAGGCAAACGAGCGCCTTCTCGAGGAACGCGCAGCACTCCACGCGGAGGAGCGACGACACCTACGCTTGCTGCTCGACAAGGCCACAGCGCCGGAGAGGAGCGATACACACCACGACCGCAGTCACCTCGTACGCGCCGAGGCCGACACGGAGCTCAGTGCCGTACTTGAGGCAATCATCGACTTGCTGAGGCTCTTTGTCCACTGCACCGCTCGCCTCCGTGCACGCCTTTTTCTTCCGACAGCAAACACAGACTCGGTCGTGCTCCCCGTTGTGCCCTGTCGTGACCACAACAGTCCACAGCTCAACGCCATCTTCAGCCACCTTGGTGGACTCCGGCACATCGCCGCTGTCATTGACGAGACTGCAGAAGCAGCACTCTCACGACAGCAGCAGCAGCCGGCGCTCCGCCAACGAGAGTCCACGACAGCCACAGTACCACAACTTCCTCACACTCCTGTAGAGATGTCGCCGGCAAGCCACCCATCGACCAGCGAAGCGAGAGCGTCAGCCCCGCACGGCGCGACTGGATCAGCGCACATATTGTCCACCAAAAGAGACATTACCTCATGGTTGACGGCCCGGCAAGAGAACCTTCAGCGACAGTTGCAGCAATCCAAAGAAACCAACAACTCTGCACAGAGCGCACCACCACACTCCCACCACAACTATCAATCGGGCGAAACACTAGAAGAAGCTGCCAAAGAATTTACGAAGATCAACTATCGAACCAATCATCGATAAATCAAAATAAAACACTCACAACATATCGGGAAAGAAAACAAAAAAAAAAGTGGCACAACGTCCACTTTTTCGGTCAGCACAATGCGGAAAAAGGCAGCTAAAAAAAGAACAACTGCACATACCTCAGCACACCATAACAAAACACAAAAACGGTAACTCCCAACATATAAGACTGTACAAACGCCCAAAACAATCCGTTTTTTTTTCTTCGCTTCTCGTTTCTCCTGCGCTGCGGGCTGCTCCAGAGCAAACAAAAGCTGATAGTTGTAAGCGTTCGGCAGTAGAACCAAAAACAAACAAACACACACACACACAACCACACACACGGCGGAAACAGAATGACGTACGAAGGCGCCATTGGCATCGATCTCGGCACGACGTACTCGTGCGTTGGTGTGTGGCAGAACGAGCGCGTGGAGATCATTGCGAACGATCAGGGCAACCGGACGACGCCGTCGTATGTGGCGTTTACCGACACAGAGCGTCTGATCGGTGATGCGGCGAAGAACCAGGTGGCGATGAACCCGACGAACACCGTCTTCGACGCGAAGCGCCTCATTGGGCGGAAGTTCAGCGACGCCGTTGTGCAGTCGGACATGAAGCACTGGCCCTTCAAGGTCATCGCGAAGGGCGACGACAAGCCGGTGATCCAGGTGCAGTTCCGCGGCGAGACCAAGACGTTCAACCCCGAGGAGGTGA